AAAAAAAAAAAAAAAACCAAAAACAATATTATATTTAATACCCTCCTCAGTTTTGATACCGACTCATAACTTCGTTATAAATTTCCCCAGCCTAGCCTCGCTTAATCATGTTTAATTCGATTTGTTTATGATCAAATTTTATATTATATACTCTCATATTTCTTCTCATACAATAAACCAAAATAAATTTATAGGGCTTATCTATGATTTTAGGACCGTACTTTCACTTAATATATACAAAAAAATGAATGATGTAACGAGATATTCATTTAACGTAATAATGGCATTGTAAAAGTGTTGAATAATCAACGCTTTGTTTATTTTATCGATTCGAGTTTTTAATTTTAAAATTTTATAGTTAAAATCTTTTAAAAAAAAGTAATATTTAATTTTTTTCTGCAACAGTTAAAACATCTTAAATAATGTCACATCTCAACTCAAATTACAAATTTGAATCTGCGAAGCGAACGATACCTAAATTTCTTGATCCAGTGTTACGTTGATAAATATTATATTATATTTATCAACTCTATATGTTACATGAGAGTAGCGTAGCAAAAACTTTTGCTATGTTCATATATTTATTAAAGCTTTTGTCCCTAATTGATCTTCTGTATGCTGAAAAAGACGTCGACTTTTAATTTCAATAGGAGAGCCTTATTAGCGGCTTAGAAACTATTCAATTTGCATGTTAAACTAGTAAGTTGCATATTAAGTAGTACTGAAACTAACTCGTTCATTTGGCCGATTTAAGTTTTTAATTTGAGTTGCTATATGATATTTATTAAAGCTTTTGTCCCTAATTGATCTTCTGTATGCTGAAAAAGACGTCGACTTTTAATTTCAATAGGAGAGCCTTATTAGCGGCTTAGAAACTATTCAATTTGCATGTTAAACTAGTAAGTTGCATATTAAGTAGTACTGAAACTAACTCGTTCATTTGGCCGATTTAAGTTTTTAATTTGAGTTGCTATATGATTTTATGTGAGAGTAAACACTGTAACAGAAAAAGTTTGATATAATTTTTTATGAGAAAAAACACTATAGTAAAAATTAGAGTTATAATTCGAATCGGTAAAATGAACGAGAATTATCAATAAATATCTACATAGATCAGAGTAAGCTGGTTTTGTTTGGGAAAAAATTACCAACTAAATCAAATTCCTAAGATTGATCTATTTCCTGAAATTAGTTAATTTACAGGTAAAACTTCCGCTTTTCCTTTTTTTTTTTTTTTTTTTTTTTTTGCGCGACTATGTACCAAAAAAATTATCCTTAATTTGATCCATGCGATTAATTGCTATCGACTCCATGAGTTCAACTACTGAAGATTTTACCAGGGTGATACAATCAAATGAGTCATACTTTATAAGGATGAAATTCATACAATGAAACAGGAAAACACGATCACTTTCGTATTTGTTTTGCACTAATTATATATCAAAGGATTTCTTACAAGAAATGGTAACTTGTTCCACTGAAACTCATTGCGGTTGTCTGACAATGATATAGTGTCATTGGACTAGGTATACTATATATGTTTTACAAATTTATATATTAATAATATCGCGTCGAGTTGTGTGTTTATTTATGAAGAAATGAGATAAATATCCTTTTAGAATGTATAAATTTAAATTTTTCTTACTTACTATAATTGATTAATATTTTTTTACTTAAATAATTATATTAGTAAAAAAAGTATTAATCACGAATAAAAAGTAAAAATTAAGATCCATACACTTTTAAAAATAAGTTTAATAATTTTTTAAATAATTTACGGTGTCAGACCCGGCCCAAAGGAGCTTTTATTCGTGTTGTGTCATTAACATGACCACGCTTTAATCATGCTCTTATCATGTCCAATAAGAAAATTATGAATAAACAATAAAATAAAGCATTAAACACAATAAGAATACTAATTTATAACGAAACAAAGCATATGATTTGGAAAAAAAAAAATTAGAGTCCGTTTAGTTCGCTGATTCGAGTTTTTAATTTGAGTTAAGATGTGCTTTTATATAAAAGCTTTTTACTGTAGTAAAAAAGTTAAATATGATTATTTCTGAGAATTTTTTACAATAACAAAATCAAATCAATGAAATGAATGGGGCCTAACTGCGATCTACAACATTGAAAATCTTACCTAGTAAAAATTGAATTGAGAAAAAGCCTTGTAAATAAAAAAAAAGTACATTCAAGTATACGAAATACATAAGAAAAAAATATTTTAATAAAGGGTATAATTGTTGTGCCGCTTGTCATGCTGCTAGTGTCCTTACCTGACCCTTAAAAATTCGTGCTTTTAGTGTGCTTTTTGCTTTAAAATACCATTAAGGTCCATTTAATAAATGTGATAACTAGGCTCATTTAACTATGCTCATTTAGTAATCGTGTTGTGTCAAGGCTACTTCTTTGTGTATGGTGCTCATACCAGCCCCGGAAATTTTACCCGCTTTGACATCTCCAGTTTTAAGATGTCAGCGTGCATGACATTTTTTAAAATATCAACATATGCGTGACATTTTTTAAAATATCAACATATGTTATAGAAATGGTATGGCAAAATGATTTTTCAGGAAAAAGGAGGATACCAAATTGATTTTTCCGCTTTAAAATTTTGCTCCCTAATTATCTAAAGCGGACGTTCCTAATAACAACTAGTAATGTTTCATTAATAGCTTCTTAACTCTTTTTTGGCTCTCCTATTATATAGGAAAACTCTAATATCCAATATAAGGGAGTTTAATTAGGGCTTAAAAAGATGTAGGAAAAGTATTCACTGAGGTGAGTTTTGGATTGTTGTATTTTTAAGAGAACGCAAAAATAGAAAGTAGAATACAAGTAGAAGTTCTAAAAGCTACAAATTTTAAATTCTTCAAATAACTTAAAAAGTGTATTGGTTTTTGTGCAAAATGCTTTTCAATCTTTTAAGCTAAATACTATAGTTGCATAGATTTTTGTAGAAATTGCTTTTAGAAATTGTAAATTCAATCCCAAACACACGTCAAAACGGCAAGATGATCACCAAACGTAAAATGCAACGATAATTAAGAATGGCAGGTTAGGTAAGATAAGTACATACAATTGTTGGAGTGTAGAACGCACGACAGAAATTGTGGTAATACTGGCATTTTTTTTTCTCTTTTATTGTGGTGTGAATATATATATATATATATATATTATGCACCTTTTGAGTTCAACAAGTCGTCAGGACAAAATTCAAGATAGAATTTTTATGTCACAATAAATTGAGTATATATACTATCTTACGAAATTAATAATTAATATAATAATGCAGTCAGCGGAGAATTTGACATTAACAAAAACAATTGATAATGTCAGAGGACCTTCTCAAATACATACGCATTGAATAATATCTTAAGTTTTTGTCAATAGAAGGAGGTGACTTGTACAACCTTCTAATGCACAAGAACTTTGACTTTTCTGATCACCAAAACATATGCCGGCATGCCTATAAATTCTCACACAAAATATACCATAGAAAGCACGATCAAACTTAAATCAGACATATCACACACAAAACCTTTTAATTTTAAGCAACAATGGCCACTTTCAGGTTAACAAACTTTCTGTTCTCCACATTTCTTCTACTTTGTTGGCTTTCTTGGTCAGCTTCAGGAAGCACTTCAGCCCCTGAAGACTTCATTCCATGCCTTCTAAACAACTCTGATCCCTCCCACCCAATTTCCTCAGCGATCTATACTCCCAACAACTCTTCATTCTCATCTGTTCTCCAAGCTTACATCCGAAACAGCCGATTCAACACTTCCACAACCCGAAAGCCTTTTCTCATCCTCACCGCCTTGCATGTCTCGCACATACAAGCCTCAATACTATGCGCCCGCCGGCACAACCTGCAGATGAAGATAAGAAGCGGAGGCCACGACTACGAGGGCGTTTCCTACGTTGCCGAAGTCCCGTTCTTCATCCTCGACATGCTCAATCTTCGAGCAATCGAAATCGATATCGAGAAAGAGACCGCGTGGATTCAGACTGGTGCAACTCTTGGTGAAGTCTACTATCGAATCGCGGAGAAGAGCAAAGTCCACGGCTACCCCGCCGGTGTTTGTCCAACCGTCGGCGTAGGAGGACATATAAGTGGAGCTGGCTATGGAAACATGATGAGAAAATATGGTCTCACTGTTGACAACATAGACGACGCTTTGATAGTTGATGTTAATGGTCAACTTCTTGACAGAAAAGCCATGGGGGAAGATTTGTTTTGGGCCATAAGTGGAGGTGGAGGATCCAGTTTCTGTGTCGTTTTGTCGTACAAGATTAAACTTGTCCGTGTCCCAGAGAAAGTCACCGTTTTCAGGGTTACAAGAACCTTGGAACAAAACGCGTCGTATATCGGATCTCGTTGGCAGCAAGTTGCTGATAAGTTAGACAGAGACCTCTTCATAAGGTTTATCATGGATGTTGTGAACGACACACAAACCGGAAAGAAGACGGGAAGGGCGACGTTTTCAGCCTTGTTCCTAGGAGACGCCGAAAGGCTTTTCTCAGTGATGAACACGAGTTTCCCAGAACTGGACTTGAAAAGATCGGAGGTTAACGAAACGAGCTGGATTCAATCTGTTCTGTTCTGGACGAACTATGCTATTGGGACTTCGGAGGATGTTTTACTGTCTCGAACGCCGCAGGTAAACAGCTTGAAGCGGAAATCTGACTACGTGAAGAAGCCGATTTCGAAGGAGGGTTTGGAGTGGATTTGGGATAGAATGGCCACGTTAGAAGCTCCATTGACGTTGACTTTTAATCCTTACGGCGGAAGAATGGCTGAGATTGCGTCGACCGCTTCGCCGTTTCCTCACCGGAAGGGGAACCTGGCGAAGATCCAGTACGCGGTGAACTGGAATGAGCAAGGAACTGAGGCTGCAAATTACTACATTGGTTTGACGAGGAAGCTTCACGAGTACATGACCCCTTTTGTGTCGAAGAATCCGAGAGAGGCATTTTACAACTACAAGGATCTAGATTTGGGAATCAACCATAATGGAAGAGAAAGCTACTACGAAGGAAGGGCTTATGGGATTAAATACTTTTTGGGCAATTTCAACAGGTTGGTCGAGATTAAGACGCGAGTTGATCCTCAAAATTTCTTTAGGAATGAACAAAGCATTCCCACTCTCCCACCTAATTAGTGATTTGGTTTAATTATTTAGCCAATAATTATGTCGCGGTGTTAATACCCTATTTTTAATTGGCCAAGCATTCGTGAACCTATAAGCATTTCTGATGATATCACAGTTGCTGGACAAAATTAAATAGCGTCTTAACGCACTTAGACTATTTAGTATATATATATATATATATATAGCTTTTATTTATTTGTATACAATACTTTCTCCCCTGGAAGGATAGCCTAGTAGGGGAAAAAGTATTGTAAATATAGTAAGTTTTCGTTGTTAACGAATTCATATATAGATATAGATACATATACGTGTCGTAATGAATATTAAATAAAATTTGTTATATTTGAATTACAGTCGCCTTGCGGTGCTCAGACTACTTTATCTTGATTTGTTTTTTCTTTACGTAAGTATATGTTTAACTCTTTCCTAAATTGATTAATTTGACCGCTTTCTTTTTCTCTCTATATATTTAACTTTTGGTTCTCTTTTTATAAATCTTCGGATCTGAAAGAACTGATTGACGGATAGCAAAATAAGCCTTCAACCAGAAAAACTGCTCAAACCGCACCCCACATGTGCATGGTTAAATATTCTAAGACCCCGTTCATTTTACCGATTCGAGTTTTGCTACAATAAAAAGTTCTCAGAAACAGTCACATTTAACCTTTTTGCTACAGTAAAAAAGCTCTCACATAAAATCACATCTTAACTCGAATTAAAAACTCGAATCAGCGAACTAAACAGATCCTAATTATACTAGTGACACCGTGCAGTTTGGTGCAACTTTTTCCACTCAATGTTTTGGTTTGGGGTCTAATTAGTACTTGACTGTGCATTGCATTTTGGTTTGTGGTTTGAAAATTTTAAGAACCCCAATAAACCGAACCACAATACCGCATATTCTTATAAATGTGATTTTTAAATATTTCTTACGTGATTTTTTTGAAGTGAAATGAATTTCATCATCTCAAATCCAAATCATCAGACTTTAAAAATGATCGTACAAACAAAGTCATTGATTGCAAGTCAACGAGATCAATTGCACAAGAAAAAAACAAAATTAACCAAACAGTAAATTACCAAGTTTTCTAAACGAGAAATGTTGCAAACATGATCACCACTATGAGCTCGGAAGATAGCTTCTCGAATATGTGATATAACATATGATTCAGGAGCTCGTGTCATTAGTGAACGAACAATACAAATAGCATTTGGAAGCATCCGACTCAATAGTCCACTTTTTGATAGCCGCACTTAGAGAGAGATTAGTCAAAACCATAAATAAGTACTCTTCAAAAGGCCACCAGAGAAAGCCCGGAGTAACGGCCACAACGCACTAGATTGCCATACTTCCTATGCACAACCACAATACCATAAAGGATGAGAAATGTCTACCATACGTTCTTGACACTGTAGGTTTTGCCCGCTACTTGAATGATTATTTTCTTTGTAAGATAAAACCTAGAGTAGACATATATTTTACAATGTAAAAAAGAAACCAGTCACTTAGATATGGAAACTAGTAAATTGTTTCATGATTGTGTTTTATTGTCACGTGATGAGTAACAAATTTGCTATGTTATTTGCTTGGTCCAACTATATCAAGGATTAAATGTCTGAACCGCACGACCAACAACACACCGAAAATAGAAGCTAGACCTAAAACAACCCATGGGATTTTTTTTTTTTTTTTTGGTTTCCACATGCAAGAAATTTTTGTGATGGTAACTCTTCAAAGTCCATGTTCGACTCGAGTACTAAAATTGGCGGATTCGTTTAAATCCTTGCAATTTGTGGTCTTAGTTCAGTCATTCATATTTAATCAAAAGAACAAAATGCGTGTGAAGTAATAATTCTTCGGTCATGACTCATCACTAAAAAAGAAAAAATAATCATAAGATTATTCGCATTCCAATCAACTTGATTGACAAATCATTTCTCAAGGATAATATAAAAGCTTCTATTCGTTTTGACTCTTGACCATGAAGAATTGAATATATATATATATATATATATATATATTAAATTACGTAATCTCTTCGATTAAATTAAAAAAGCAATTAATTAATTGGTAATCACTTAAGAATCCTACTCAAATGATCATAGCAGACGCATCAGGAAAATAACATATACGCGGTTTCAGCATGAAAATCACATCCAAATCAGCAAGATCTTCTATATCGCGCTTAATTTGGAAACATAATTTTTCATCGGGAAAATTTTATATTTGTACCTTATGTTTTAGCATAATTGTCTTTTAGTACACTGTGTTTTGAGTATTTTTAATTTGGTACCTTGATGTTTTAAAAAATTATTTTTAATACCTTGATATCATTTTTTAAGATGTAAAATGTCAAATTTACCATTCTCGTTACTTTACCAAAAACTAATAAATTTAGAAAAAAAAACTCTAAAAATTAATTTTAATTTAAAGCATTATTTTAATTTTTAATTTTTAAATGTTTAAAATTTTTTTCAGAATTTTTCTAAATTTATTATTAGTTTTTTAGTTAATTAATGAGAAGGGTAACTTTGACATTTTACATTTCAAAAAATGACTTTAAGATATTAAAAATGATTTTCTAAAACGTCGAGATATCAATTTAAAATTATTAAAAACACAGTATATTAAAATACAATTATGCTAAAACACAGGATATCAATATGAAATTTTCCATTTTTTTCATTTATTTACATGGCGTTTATTTTGGAAACACAAATTTTCATTTATTTACATGACGCTTACGCCACAACTTGTATATTCCTAGGCATCTTAGCAATGCAATAATCTTCAAGATCACCTGACTTCACTTCCCTATAAATTCTGAATACATTCAACAAAACCTCACAATCCAGACGAAGAAGAAAACAAAAAGGTAATCCATATAATATCAATCAAGATTAATATATCAAAAAACAATGGTTTCATGCATTCGATCCCTAGTATTTGTTCTTCCTCTCTTATTTCTTCTCCACTCATTTGCGTCCACAACAGCTTCTTCAGATTCAATCCTCTATAACTTTATCCAATGCTTCCAAAACATTTCCCAATTTTCCACCACAACCTCTGCAATCGTTTTCACACACAAGAACTCCTCTTTCTCGTCCACGTTAGTCTCACGAATCGACAACCGCAGATATTCAATCCGTGAAACCCCCAAACCTTTAGCCATTATAGAAGCCACAATCATACCCCACGTCCGAACGACAATCCTCTGCGCGAAACGACATGACCTGCAAATAAGAATCCGCAGCGGAGGCCATGACTTCGAGGGCATCGCTTCGGTCTCCGGCGTCCCGTTCGTCATCCTCGACATGCTCAACTTCCGCAACATCGAGATCAAAATGTCCGACGAGACGGCATGGGTTGAGGCCGGCGCGAGCCTTGGCGAGCTCTACTACAAGATCGCCAATACCAGCAAAGTTCACGGGTTCGCAGCCTCGGTCTGCCCCGGGGTATGCACCGGTGGGCACATCAGCGGCGGAGGGTACGGAAATATGATGAGAAAGTTTGGACTATCAAGTGATAATGTCTTGGACGCTAAAATAATGGACGTGAATGGTAGAATACTCGACAGAAAAGGCATGGGAGAAGACGTGTTTTGGGCTATTAGAGGAGGCGGCGGAGGAAGCTTTGGCGTTATTCTTTCATGGAAAATAAGGCTCAATAGAGTAGCCGAAAAAGTGACGGTTTTCAACGTTGAAAGGAACGAAAAAGAAGTTGGTTTAGAGGCTATGTATCGTTGGCAATATGTTGCTCCAAATCTTCCTAATGAGGTTTTCATTAGGGCAATGGCTGGGGTGATTAATGGTAGTGAAGAGGGGACTAAAACAGTGGGGGTCTCTTTTATTGGCATGTTTTTGGGACCGAAAAAAGAGCTTGTTTCCTTGTTGGAAAATCGTTTTCCTGAATTGGGTTTGAAAGAAAAGGAATGCTTTGAAATGAGTTGGGTGGATTCCACTGTCTTCTGGAGCAATTACCCAGTTGGGACTTCATTAGACGTTTTGTTGAAAAGGCTTAATGGGGCCACTCAGTTTTACAAGATCAAGTCGGATTACGTGAAGGAACCTATTCCAAAGAAGGATTTGGAATCCATTTGGGAAATGATGTTGAAGATTGGTCAGGTTTGGATGAAATGGAATCCTTATGGAGGAAGAATGAGCGAGATTTCGGAATTGGAAACTCCTTTCCCCCATAGGGCAGGGAATTTGTTTTTGATTCAGTACTATGTTTATTGGTTTAAAGAAGGTAAAGACATTGCAAATGAGTACTTGGATCTTGCAAGAGAGTTGTACGAGAAGATGACCCCTTTTGTTTCGGAGAATCCTAGAGAGGCCTTCCTCAACTATAGGGACTTCGATATTGGTGAAAATCCAGAGAATAAGACGGACTATGAAACCGCGAGAGTTTATGGGAAAAAGTTCTTCAAGGATAATTTTGATAGACTGGTGAAGGCGAAAACCATCATCGACCCTGATAATTTCTTCAAGAATAAACAAAGCATTCCACCACTTCCAAGACGGAAATGAAGAATGATGGAATCATGGACATGATAAAAGGCCAGTTTATTTATTTGTAATTGCGTATTAGAATTTCTTTAAGGTATTGGTTAGACTAATCGAGTAAGAATTTGTAGTTTTTTCCTTTAAAAAAAAAATAATAATATAAGAATTTCTAGTTGCTTGTCACCTTGTATTAATTATATTATATTACTGTTTTTAAAGGGTCAGACATTAGACTTTGCAGCTAAATTTACTTATAAATCCTGAGGACTCGACAGACGTACGGTTAAAACTTTTTCGTTCGTATAGAAACAATGCTGATTTACTGAGGGAAAAAAAAAAACAATCATTAATGGAGATTAATACAATGATACGGTTATTTAACGTAGAAAAAAATCCTTATGGAAAAATCACGGTGCTAATTAACCAGATAAATAGAAAGATTTTATTGACTTCAAATTACAGTTACAAGTGTCACGACCTAAAACTGCGAGATCAATGCAAATTGATACATTTCTAAAATGCCGGGTTCCTATACAAATGAGAAATTTTAAGAAAAAGTCTCTATGTTTTTTTTTTTTTTGCCCCTAATATGTGGAATGTTATGAGGAAAAAAAAAACGTATTACATAAAATAAAAATTAATCAGAACATGTCTTAAAATAACTTATAAGAGTATACATAGCCGGTAATATATATGCTTTATAAATCTCAAATAGGCATTTGGGTAATGTTGTGTAATAATTAATATTTCCCTTAGAACTTCAATAATAGACATTTTATGTAATTATTTTATATAAATCTTTGGTCTGAAATTAAAATTTTAATACACATCCAAGTAATTAAAAAGAAAAAGGAGATAAATGCTCTTAAAATGCACGGGTCTTGAATTTTTACCTTTTATAATTGATTAATATTCTTTAATTAAAAAACTATATTAATCAAAAGGGTATTAATTAAGAATAAATGATAAAAAAACTTAAAACAATACATTTAGAGTTCACAAATTTTCTCTAGTTAGAATAACTAACGATACTCCATAATCTCTCCAGAAGAATTACCCAAGTAATCTGTGACGAGCCTATCATATGCCTAACTACTCAATCAGACTAACTAAATTGCACACCACAGGGAGAAAAAGGATGAGTTATAGCCTAGAAGGAATACCGATTACTTATTTTCAAATCAATAAAATAAAAGCAAACATATTCATATACAATAATATATGAAATGAAAAGTTTATTGAATTTATAACTCCAAATTAAGGAATCCGCAAAGTTAATTAACTTTAAAACTTCCAAACAACTTGTAATTTATTAAGTCCAAAGGCAACCTAAATGAATTGGTGGTCGGCGACGAACCGGTTCTCCCATCTGTAGCAGATCTGGTTGTGTTAAAAAAAATTGTGTAACTTTTTATTTTTATTTTTTTTACTGAGATGATGTAATTCTTTGTAATTGGATATTGTGTATAATAATTTGGAAATATTTTGATAGACAAGATAATCTATCAGATTATTCTTCAGGGGCTGGCACCGGAAATTAGGGGTAACTAGTCATATTTAAGTTGAAAATAAGAAAATAATTTAGTAGATAATGATTAGCAGATTACTCTTTAGCGACCGGTGATTGATGTCGGAGATCAAACTGGGTAAATCATTTTTGAGTTGAAAAAAAAAAATAAATTGGCAGATTATGGAACATTATCTGACGTATTCTTTCTAGTCACCGACTGTAACGATTCGCACCTCTATTTGGTATGAAAATGTCCGCTTTGTAGCAATGTAAGACTGCACAGCTTATCTTGTCTTTGTCATTTTGTCTCAAGAGATTGATGACTTTCACACTGACGCCAAAGTAAAAAATATACTATTATTTTTTGGTTGAAAATATAAAAATAATCCAGTAGATTATGAAACATAATCTTACAGATTATGACCGGTGGTCAGCATATTATGAAACGTAATCTGGCAGATTACCTTGTTCCTCGACTAGTGAATAGAGATCAGAAACTCCCTTCCGCCATCATCTGGTAATTTACTAGTGGTAAACATATAGATTACCCTTTTGACCATTGGGTAATTTCGATAATCCGTATGTTGGATCTGTGATCGATTTTAGTCTAAAATTATAGAAATCAAGGGATTAATATTTCAGGGTTAAACATTAAAGTTTGTCTATTTAAAGGGATATTTGTCTCCTTTTCTCATGTATTTATTGCCACAAACTTGTGTTTGAAGTACTTCTATGCGTCTTAAGAAATGAACTTAATGAACTAAACGGAGTGGGGGTTTAAGAGTGGCCTTACCAATAGTCGGTGAGGCCCAGTCAATCTTATTCCTCCTCCGAATCTATCCAGATAGATGTTTTTGGATTTCTTGGTTTGTTTGGATGGGCTCTTGGTTTGTTCGGCCCTAAGAGGGGGACATAAGAAAAAGATATATATATATATATATATATATTTGGTTATCTCAAATGTAAATGAGGATTTTTATTTTTATTTTTATTTTTCATTAACATTTTGTTTTTTGGGAGGATACATATTTTACGTTTAATTTAAAAAGTCAGTTCTTTTTACTTCTTGTACTCCTCGCCGCTACTTGAGCAAGAACATGCCACCTAGTGCATTTCACCAAGACTCCGACTTCTTTTTATCCTAGTTTATCCTACTTCCTAATTTCATTTTTTTTTTCAAATATAATCATTATTATTTATCAAATCTTTCTTTCTTCAATTATTAAAAGCAAATGTTTCTATCAAAAAAGAAAAAAATTTATTAAAAGCAAATGTCAAGATGGGGAACTTGCAATTCAAGATATGACTAGAAAGTAGCAACTTCCAAGTCATTTCCTTAGCAATTAATTTTCTGTCTCTCTTATTACCGAGTGAAGAAGAAAACTCCCATTTATTCTTGGAAATCAGAAAAGAAAAACAAAATCCCAGCTATCTAATATCAAATGAAGATCCCAATCCCCGCAATCTTCACAATCTTCTCAACCTTTCTTCTCCAAATCTCAACGGAAATTTCAGATCAAACCCAAGAAACTCTCCTCCACTGCCTTTCTTCCCACTCCCAACAGACCACCCCACCAATCTCCTCACTCACATACTTCCCCAACAACTCTTCATACTCATCACTGCTTAAATCACACATCAGAAACCTCAGATTCACATCCCCAACAACCCCAAAACCACTCTTCATTATAGCTCCAACACACGTCTCTCACATCCAAGCCACAATCATATGCTGCAAAATTCACGGCCTTCAGCTCAGAATCCGCAGCGGCGGTCACGACTTCGACGGCCTCTCGTACATCTCCGACGTCCCGTTCATCATAATCGACATGTTCAATCTCCGAGCCATAGAAGTGAATATCGAGGAAGAAAACGCTTGGGTTGAGTCAGGTGCAACTCTAGGCGAGCTTTATTACAGAATCGCGGAGAAGAGCAAAATCCATGGCTTCCCAGCTGGGGTTTGTCCGACTGTTGGTGTTGGAGGGCATTTTAGTGGTGGAGGGTATGGTAATATGATGAGAAAATATGGGTTGTCTACGGATAATGTGATTGATGCAAAAATAGTTGATGTTAATGGTAATGTTTTGGACAGAGAATCAATGGGTGAAGATCTTTTTTGGGCAATCAGAGGTGGGGGTGGGGCTAGTTTCGGAGTTATTGTTTCTTGGAAAATCAAGTTGGTTTCTGTACCAGAGATTGTTACGGTCTTTAGAGCCGAGAGGACTTGGGAACAAGGCGGTTTGGACGCTGTTCTGCAATGGCAAGATGTTGCGGATAAACTCGATGAAGGTGTTTTCATTAGAGTGGTTTCGATGCCGGTGAATAGGAAGACTCAGAAGACTGTCAAGGCTAAATTTGTTTGTTTGTTTCTTGGGAATGCTACAACGCTTGGTCTTTTCATGGATGAAAGTTTGCCCAAATTGGGTTTGAGGAAAGAGGACTATTTTGAAATGAGTTGGATTGAATCCGCTCTCTATTGGTATAACTACCCAATTGGAACTCCAATTGATGTTTTGTTACAAAGGGTACCAAAATCAGACAAATTCCTCAAGAAAAAATCGGATTACGTGCAAGAACCAATTCAGAGGGAGGCACTTGAAGGAATATGGAGAAAAATGGTGGAGCTGAAAAAGCCAGTGCTTACATTGAATCCTTATGGTGGGAAAATGAGTGAAATATCCGAGCTTGCAACTGCATTTCCACATAGAGCAGGGAACAAGTACAAAATCCAATACTCAGTGCAGTGGAAAGAGGAAGGTGTTGAGACTTTGGAGCAAAATCTTGATCGGATTAGAAAACTTTACCAGTACATGACTCCTCATGTGTCAAAATCTCCGAGGTGTTCTTATCTGAATTACAGAGATGTTGATTTAGGTACTAATGGAATTGGATATAATGCAAGCTACTCAGAGGCTAGCGTCTGGGGGACCAAGTACTTCAATGGGAATTTTGATCGGTTGGTGGAAGTTAAGACTAAGGTAGATCCAGGTAACTTTTTCCGATATGAACAAAGTATTCCACCTCTTGTGGCTCGGACGGGTAAAATGGCACAATGCTAAAACTGCTATGTGAAAGTATGTTTTTTTTAAATATATATATATATATATATAAGAATTGTTCTGGCACTTAGAAAGTGTCTATCAGCACTTGTATAATCATATATAAATTATGTATATTTGTACATAAATTATGTATATTTATATGTAAAGTCATGTATATTTAATATGAAATACAATAAATCAGTTAATATACATATTTTTATATTATATGTTCACTAATTGCTATAAAAAAAACATGTTTTGAGGATTAATATACATTATCGTTTATTATAACTTAACATACATGATTTATATGTAAATATACACGATTTATTGTAATATACACGATTGCACAATTATACAAGTGTCATGTAAATATACACAATTTACTTGTAAATATACACAACTTACTATAAATATACACATTTTATACAAAAATGTACAAGTATCGTTTCGGTCAGTCATTTTTTAAGTGTCTGACGAGAGACCTTGCACATATATATATATATATATATATATATATATATATATTAGTGGCAGGAGGAAAGTAAAACTAAGATCTGAAACTTTTTTGTTAAATTATCATGTTCTCTACTCTGATATATTCTGATTTGATTGGAGGGTTGGAAATTGTAATTGTTTTTATTAGCCACTATATAGTTCTCTCGTTTTTTCTTTTTTTCCTTTTTTATGAATACAAGTACGTTGTTATATTTGAAAAAAAAAAAGGTTACTGTTTTTATATAAAATAAGGGAGATTTTTTAATCTATTTGGTGTATTAATAAAATTCCACGAATAGAAAACATAATTTATTGATACGAAGACCCTATAAAAAAAAATAAGGTCTTTTTTTATTTTTATTTTTGTTTTTTTTTGGTAACTAGCTGAATGTGTACCCGGCCGAACAAAACACTTGAGTAAATATGTGGGCTGTGAAGAGTGAAGACAAATGGAGCTTCTGTTGGTTGTAATGGTTATCTTTATTGTTATCTATTACCGTTATTTGTCTCTTAAACTTTCAATTTTGGTAAGCAACACTCTGATCTTATAAAATTGTTATAATGTGTCACATTTTATTAAATTTTTTTAAATTTTTTTATTAAATTTAAGAGATTAAAAATTAAGAAATTAAGAAATTAAAAGATTTGTATTACGTTTAAATTGGGATGTTAAAAATTTTCGTTAAACATATTTTTTCAACATTAATTTAACACAATCATTATTAAAATAAGGTATATTACAATAACTTTACAAGTTGAATTTTGAGATCAATATGTAAAATACCCAAAGATTCATTCACCCCTTGAACTATGCACTATAGTTCAAAATACCCTCTCAGTTTATAATATTAACAAAATGGTGAGTCAACATTACATATAATTTTATAAGAATAATGTTATCAACATCAACTATGCTCTCAACGTTTAGATCAACCGATGAGTTGTCGTTTTTTGTTCACAGATATTTAAAAGATTGCTCTATCAATTAATAATAAGAGGTTTAAAATGCTATCCAATTATAATTTTGACTCTAATTTTTTAATTAAATAGTCTTATAATAACTAAATTTTTGTTTTAGTTTAGTTTTGGGACCGTAAAATGCTATTCAAGTGAAATTTTTATTCTATTTTTTTCACTTTATTATTGCTCTAATATGTGGATATTTGTCATAATGAAATTCCAAAGCCATAAAATGCTATCCATATATAAGTTTATATTCCTTTTTTTTCACTTCAATAGTCCTCTAATATAGATATTTGTTTTAATTTAATTCTGGAAGGCATTAAAATTATATCCAAGTACAATATTTTACTTCAATATTTTCACTTCAATAGTCTTTTAATAATTAGATCTTTGTTTAAATTGAATTCTAGAGGCCTTAAAATGCTCTCCAAGTACCATTTTTAATCTAATTTACAATTCGGTAGTCTTCTAATATATAAATAATTAAATTTCAGGGGCCCTAAAATGCTATCCGAGTACAATTTTGACTCTTATTTTCAATTTAATAGTCTTTTAATATCTGGGGTTGTTCTTTTGGAGTGTAACTTGAGTGTAGTTTTTGAATTGAATTTGAGTTATAACTTGAGTTAAAGTTGTAACTTGAATAAAGTTGAGTAAAGTTGAATAAAATTGAAACTTAAAAGAATGTGAACTTGACTAAAGTTGTAACTTGAGTTTAAACTTCTTCTGAATTTTGTTGCAAAAGAACAACCCTACGTATTAATTGAGTTTCGGGGGCCTTAATTTGCTTTCAAAAATAAAATTTTTATTCCAATTTTTTCACTTCAATAGTTCTCTTATATGATATTTATTTTAAAAGATCGCCACATCAACTAATAATAAGATGTTGCACCTACCAATAAAAAAATGTTAATTTATGAGCTGGTTTAAAAATTAAGAATATAATTGGTATCCCTGACATTACTTATTTTATAAATACCCCACAAACTATTAATTTAAACTCAACTTATCTCTTAAATTATTGATCTTGTGCCAACTTTCCCTTTGATTTTTTTAAAAAATAGGGGCAAGTTAATACAAAATCAAGAGTTCAAAGATATTTAGAAAATTATATTAATCTTACGGTGTTTTGAAACACCTTCATACTTTTGGAAGTGAAATGAATCATTTCCAAATTTTAGCGATTGTTTGGTAAATAAGTTCGAAACTTAGTGGTTTAAATTTTTTGTGGTTTGAAATGGATTTTTTTTTTTGTTGGTTAAATGTCTGGAATGAATAATTTGAAACATATGATTCGGTTAGGAAAAAATGTTTCAGAAAACAATTTAACGGAACAGAATATATGGCTTCTTAAAATTTTCCAAAAAATATTCAGAACTAGATTCATATATTTGGCAATAATAAATCTACAAAATTCTTCATAACTTTCTCGACCGTCGATCTTTCTCATTATGACTCCTCTCATACTCAACAGGTGTGTGACTACTAGTGAAGTTTCTCTTGATTTTAATTATACTTTCAACCCTTCTTGCTTATGATTTCCTTTTCTCAAAGTGAGAGAGTAGAAATGCTAATGATGGAATCCAAAAGAAATCTAATTAAAGAAAAAGAAAAAAAAAACATACAACACAAGCTCCTACAAGAAGTCTACCACTTGTGAGTCTTTTACAGTACAACACAATTTCTCCAATTGTAGTCCAACATTTGTACAATCAAAATATATTTTTTGAATTAAAATTGATTTATATTTTTTATCACTAAAATAAATACTATACAGTATTTTTATCACTAAAATAAATATTACACAATATTTATCTTAGCAATTAAAATAAATATGTGGTCATATAAAATATGTGATAAAAATTTATTAGTGTTCTATGACAATGTGCCACCTACTGCTCAGTTGGTGCTTTACCTGAGGCAAACTATCTGTGTGCGTTTTCTTTGTACAGCTTAAGATTTAATTAGCATAAGAGTTTATTATTATTTTTAATTCAACTCATTTAAAATTATAAGAATAATCTTTTAATTACAATCCCTTAATACAAGAGAAAATCTTTTAATTCCAATTAAAACAGTAAATATTATTTTTATGAATTTAGGAAATTTGGGTTGATTTAAAATTACGGCTGAACTCGGTGAATTTAGCCGAGTTGCCTACATACCCCGTTGAGAGATCAAGCCACTTGTAATTCGAATTTTAAATTTAAAAAAATTGAATAATTCCCCAGTGTATGACTTTATGAGAAATTGACGCACTTTGAAATTTGATTTAGTTTAGTTTTTTTTTTTTTTTTTTTGAGGATTTTTAGGATTGAATTTGAACTTGAAACTGCACCTAAAATTAGGGCTAAACTCGGTGAATTTAGCCGAGTTGCCTACATATCCCGTTGAGAGATCAAGCCACTTGTAGTTCGAATTTTAAATTTAAAAAAAAATTGGACCCGAATGTATGACCTTATGAGGAATTGACACACTTTCAAATTTGATTTAGTTTTGTTTTGATTTGTTTTTTTTTTTTTTTTTGAGGATTTTTAGGATTGAATTTGAACTTGAAACTGCACCTAAATTTTAAGCTGCCTACGTATCCCATAAGGAATCAAGTTAATCGTAATTTTTGAATTTGAATTTTGATGTTAGAAAATTCCCCAGTATATGACCACATGAGGAATTCAAAGATGTTTTAAAATTTGATTTGGAATTTTACTTTAGAATTTGGGTTTGAAAGTTATATTTGGATAATTTCTCAGTATATAACCTTATGGGGAATTAAAAGGATCCTTTTGAATTTGGTGTTGATATTTTTTTATTTAAATTTAGGATTTAAAAATTATATTTAATCACCATATAATTTTATGAGACAATGAGCTCATCTTTTTGAAATAAGAGACCATAAAGGGACCTAATTTGTGCACTTTAAATTTTTGGGTATTTAATATTCCGATTTTTTTTTAAATTTATTGTCTTTTCTCTTTTTTTTTTATTTTGAATTTTAAAATTCAAAATCAAATCCACCTTTAGATTGGATTTGTTCAAACCGACCTTCTAATCTCAAAAGGAATTGAAGTCATTCTTTTGCTTCATGTGGTTGACACACACACACACACACACACACACATATATATATATATATATATATATATCCATGGCTTCATATTTCACACAACACAGGAAGTATAGTGAGATCTTAATACGTGTGTGTATATATATATGTTTTGGTGCATTGTGAAGATATCAAGGAAAAATTAAAGGTGACGGCTTGCTTCCTTTTTTTTGTTTTTTTATCTTCATTCTTTGATTGTTTTTCGGCGGGTATCATACAATTTATATGAATATTTTTCATATAAATCATATACACTATATACTAAGCTCTTTGTTTACGATTCATAGGGACTTTGCGCCAGGTAATGAGGCTTGTATCATAAGCCGCAATTTTGGCATTTGCGACACTGTTTTGATGGCCTTATATATATATATACTAGTTTTTTGGCCCGCGTGTTGCTGCGGGAAAGATTGTTATATTATAGAAAAAATCATGAGTTTTTACATTACAGTATTAATTTATATGTACATACATTTACATATATATATTTGTTTAAAGGTCTACTAAAATAATTTATACACATATGTACATATGTATATATATTTGTTTAAAGGTCT